TGTTTTGTTTCATAGCCACTGTCTGTACTGTCTTGCCTGTCTGAATATCGTTGTCCTTCTGTCTTTCATCCTGAGTTATCCTTCTCTGTCTGTCTCTCTGTTTCCTCCCTCTGTTTTTTTCTGTCTATGTTTTACGACTGTCTGTCTGTATGTCTGCATGTCTGTCCTTTCTTTCTTTCTGTCTCCTCGGTGTATCAACCCATTCTGTTTCTTCTCTCCGTCTTCTTTTTCTCTCTGTCCCTTATCCATCTCTCTTTTATATCTCTCCCCGTCTCTTTTTCGTTTTTCTCTTTTTTCTTTCTTTATATTTCTCAGTCGCCTCACTTCCCCCACCTCTCTCTCTCTCTCTCTCTCTCTCTTTCCACGTCTGCCTTTCACCCTTCTCTGTCCCCAAACTCAATTTTCTGTGTGACATGTACTCTCACAGCCATGACTGATGACTGGTCCCGTCTTCCGTCACCTTTCCTCCCTCCCCGACACACTGACTCCTCGGGTGTGTGGTCATTGAAGGTTCCAAGTGTTCCCTGAAGAAGGCAGGATGGGTAGGGAAACACTGGTAACACTGGAAGTCCATTTATTAACGGATAGGAGAAATACATGGTGACTAGCGTGTGACTTGCACGACCACAGAGTCAGAATGAGACTGCCTTGCCATATGGCAGCCTCGGGGCAATGTTGCCACATACACGTGAGGTGTTGCCACGTGCATCATATATATAAATGCTACGCTGCACATTAGCATAAATACATAACCTCATCTCCCTCCCCTCACGCTCATAGTCTTTGTCTCTGAGCGGACTTCTTAGTCCCAAGTCGCCCGAGCGTCGAGGTGCACCTCGTGGGCGGATCCTCGTGAGGTGTAAGGGACCTGCCCTCGGTCAGGGCCAGCAGCAGGGGGTGGACTGGGTCGGGAGATGCGCGTTCATTCAGACACGGCCGCTCGGCATCCTGACCTTGTAGTCCCATGCATCGCCGACGCCTGATCACTATGCCTACCTTGTCCCAACGTGTCGTCGTCGGGTCCTGACGCGACAAGGGGCACCACCTCCAGCGCTGAAGAGGGCGGCACGGTCGTCATATTGCCTTAAGGCCCTGGGCACGTAGCGGGCGGTCGGCAGCCTGGGTTTCCCCTGGCTCCGGCCACACCTTTGCAAAGGCCTTATGCGTGTACAGGAACGCTAAGATGAGAGGGTGACCACAGGATCTGGGGCAGGGAGCGTCCTGTGTGGTGGAGTGACGCTGGTTCTGGGCAAGCAGCTCCAGCGGCAGCCAGGCTTATCGCCGCTGATTCACGCGACCCTGCTGGAGCGTGTGTACCACCGAGCAGCTGGATCCACTGAAAGTCTCTGGGCACCACGCCTAACTCCCTTGCAGTGCTCCCAATGACAACAAGGGTGTAGTGAGAGTAGGCTGCACGTCGATCCATCCGTGACACCTAATCGTCGCCGTGAGGTGGGTGATCTCCGCTTGAAAGGAGCCTACAGCATTCCTGCATCTGGGAACCGTCCGCATTGTAGTACCGCAGCCGCGCGGTGGTCCCAGGTCGCGCTTGGTGAGGCCCAGTTTCGAGGTGCTTCAGGCCTATCACCGTAGGTATCACAGCCGTGTCCGGTATCACTGATGTGACCCGACACACATCACCGTGTGATGGCGACGCGATGGTAGGGGAAGGGGTAGCCCTGGGCGTGTGGTCGATTCCACCCTGATGTGACTCCAGCCGCCGCTTGGGGCTGCGTGGGCCATCTGGGCTGCGGCGAACCACCCTCCAGGGAAGTGCGCCAAGCTTCCTGCCTCGGCTTTTGGGTTTGGGTTAGCGCAGCACTTGTCGTAGTGTCCATAGCGACCGCGAGGCCTGAACACTTGCGGCCTCGTGCAGGGCAAGGCACCTGTCTGTGTTGTGACCAGTGGCCCTTACAGTCACATTCCACGACACAGTGCGGCCGGGTGGCCGGCATGTCTTGGGGCCATGCTGCTTCCGTCCAGCTGCCACAGGAAGCACCTGCTAGGCGGAGGCGTGGAACGTGCGGCAGCTCGCTGTTGGCCGCCTCTACCCTTCTTGTACTGTGAGATAGCTCACAGCAGGTGCCCGAAGGGGCAGAGGTGGCGGACTTGCGGCCTCGTATGACCGATACCAGTCACTACCACCTGGAGTGTGGAGGAAGCGCGTCCAGGGGATGAGTCGCCACCAACTCTTTTCTTGCTCGATAACGGTCAAGATCCCGCTTGATCCAGGCTTCTCACATTCTCGGTTGTGCGCCTTGCAGACGTCGATCTCCTGACAAACTCTTCAAACGTACAAAAAAGTCAGCGATTCATTCTCCGCCTGCTTGCAGCTGGTGAAGGCGCGGCGGCCGCAAAGCCTCGTTATTCCGACCCTAACGTACTCCTGCAAAAGGTCGAGCACATCCGTCACTGAAGACGAATAGGGAGGCACTGCAACGTGTGCTCCAAAACTCTCTGGGTCTCCAGCGACAAATACATCCGCAGTTGGATGAGCTGTTTGTTTGGAGGCATGTTATCAAGGTCCAATTATCGTGGAAAGTAATCTGTCCACCGCCTCCACTCACAAAAGCTGAAACGTGACGTCTGGTGAGAGGGCGGGTGGGGGGTTGAACAGAGATGCCTCAGGAGCTGGTGGAGGCAAGAGTACCTGGAGGACGCTGGGTGTGGTGGGAGGAGGAGGGTACTGTGCCTGGTGCCCGATACCTGCGAGTTTCGCCGAGGGGTGGGTTAGCCAGGGTTGCCAATAGTGCATCAAAACGCGCCTTTTCCCTCCTCGCATCTCCTCCCTCTGAAACCAATCTCTCTGCGTCTCGTCCCTGTCGTCCATCCACCTCAGAACTGTGGCAATGTCCGTATTGGAGGTGAAGGATGAGAGTCTGCACCCGTGGAGGGATGGTGGTGGGGAGTCGTGTCTCCCATCTTGACGTTGTCCCTTCTTACCGCCCATCTTAGTATAAAGCTTGAACTGCTGCTTAGTATATAAAGTGGCGCCTCATCAGCCTCGAACCACATATATATAACATAAACAGCTTGAGAAATAACGATAGAGTCCATACTGTTCTGTCCGTGAGTGCGTGTGTGCGTGCGTGCGTGTGTGTGTGTGTGTGTGTGTGTGTGTGTGTGTGTGTGTGTGTGTGTGTGTTCCCAGAGAGCGCATCGTGGTACGCCAGCGAGGCAAGAAACGTCAGTGTCTCCCCGATGTCACGAAGGGTGTATGCCCGCGCGTCTGCGGGTACCACCAAAGACAGGCCAATGCTGAACTCTCAGCCTTTAGACACACTTTAATACACTGACACTAACACTAACATCGCCACCGTCACTAAAACGCACTGTGATGGTGCAACACTGCACGTCGCGGCGAAACACAACGCAACACAACACAACACAACGACTAAGAGTCGACAAGCAAGACATCGCCGCTAACTGTCCATTGTTCACACACTTGTAAGTCCACAGATCCTACTCACTGCGCTCAGCGAAGGTTCCCAAGTGTTCCTGAAGGCAAGTGATGGGTAGGGAAACACTGCAAATACTGAAGTCCATTTATTAACGGATAGGAGAAATACAAGTGGTGACTAGCGCGGTGACTTGCACGACCCACAGAGTCAGACTGAGACTGCCTTGCCATACGGCAGCCTCGGGGCAATGTTGCCACATAACATGTGCAGTGTTGCCACGTAATTACATATATAAATGCTACTCGGCACAGTAGCATAGATACATAACCTACAGTCATAACATGCATGAGACGACCCGCTACTCATCCACCGCCTGTGTTCACTCTTGATATGTTCAACTGTGTGTCACTCTCTCTATCCTTCTCGTTCTGTCTTATTTTGATTATCATTCTTTTGTTTTTTATCTTGGTTTCCCCCACTCTCTTTTTTCTCTCTTTTTCCTTTTTCTCTGTTTCTGTATTGTCTTCTTTTTATTCCCACCCTTTTCTCTCTCTTTTCTTCTTCTCTTTATCTTTTTTTACGATTTCCCTTTCCTCATAACTCTCTATATCATTCTACAAGTTCTCTCACACACACACACACACACACACACACACACACACACACACACACACACACACACACACACGGACGGGTCAAGACGGGTCAGACGTACCTGGCGCTGCTCAGCAGCAGCCACGTCAACTGTTATGTTGGCCCATACCAACTCCTCCCCTGAACCCTCCTCCCACCGGAATATCAACAAGTTCTCGCCAGAAGTTACTATTTCATTTGGGAAAGGAATGGAACCAGTGTTGAATAGTGTGAACAGTGCTTAAGTCAGTGAAAACAACTGGCAGTTGAGTCTTACTCAAGTTAACCTTCACACAGTGAGGTCCCAGGTACCCAGTGATACCCTGAGACTCCACGATAGAGAGGCCTGGGACCACACCTCACCCACTTGAGTGAGTGAAGTCGACCACGTGGGTCCCCATGATGCTACGACACCACGTAGTGAATGAGTTGCTACAGCATCATGTGAAGTTCCTCATAACACCATCTGTGAGGGAATTACTACACCACGTGATGCCCCTCATAACACCATCTGTAAGGGAATTACTACGCTATGTGATGCCCCTCATAACACCATCTGTGAGGGAATTACTACACCACATCAGGCCCCTCATACACCATCTGTGAGGGAATTACTACACCACGTCAAGCCCCTCTTAATACCACCTGTGAGGGAACTAGTACTCCACGTGATGCCCTTCATAACGCCATCTGTGAGGGAGTTACTACACTACGTGTCTGCTGTTCAACACCTCAGCTCACTTGATCTACGTGTGTAAACATTAATCTGTATATTCACTGTATGTTCCTTCACCTTTCTCTAATGAAGGCTTTTGTTAAACCACCAATGTATGTAATAAGTCATTTATGTCCAATGTATATTTTCAGCATTTGGGCTGCAAACTTTTTCAATAAACCGTTTATTATTATTATTATTATTATTATTATTATTACACACACACACACACACACACACAGTTTCCATACCTTCTCAGCCACAGGGGACATAGAGCCAGCGATCTTGGAGTTGAGGTTGTCCAGGGCGGCGAACAGGAGGCCGTTGATGTGGTCGGTGTAGGTGGTGCCGTTACGTGGGTCTTGGGCGTCCAGGATCTGTGTTAACTGCTCGATCTGCCGGAAGTAAACACACGTATGATGAAGGAATTTTACCTTACTTAACCATTCCTAATTTAATCTAACCTAACTTAGTGTAACTTTAACCTTAGCTAAACTAACATAACTTTAACTTAAACTAACGTAACTTTAACCTGACCCAATGCAAATTTATCCTATATCAACCTAAACTAACGTAACCTTAACCTAAACTAATTTAACCAAAAGTAACCTAAATTAACCAAACCATACCTGAGTTATCTTAACCTAACCTAACATAGGCCAATTTAATCAACATAACCATAACCTAATCTAACTTAACCAAACCTAACTTAACCTAACCCAACCTAACCTTAACTAAACTTAACCTAACCTATTCTAACGTAAACCTAACCTAACCTTAATCTAAACCTAAATTAACCTAACTACACAAAACTGAATCTAACCTTAACCTAACCAAGCAAAACCTAACCCTAACTACCATAAACTAACCTTAACCTAACTACACCTCGATAAAGTTACTCCACCAACACCTACTAAATATACATACACAACAAGGACCGTTGTTATACCACACATTACGTACACAAGTTCAACGACACTAGAAACCTACTCACAAACACACCCAAAACATTGAATTGCAAGAGAACACACTATTAAGTACACCTGGGAACAGCACTCGTGGGTCAAGTGTAGGGCTGTGAGTGTACTACACCCACCGCTACACCCACACAACAACCCTCCTCAATAACAATGGCTCACCCCACGTGAAGAATAATGCACACAGAGGGGAGAGGTGAGATGACTTATTTGTGCAGTTGCTGCCTGTCTTTGTAAAGTAATAATAATAAATAATAATAATAATAATAATAATAATAATAATAATAATAATAATAATGATAATAATAATAATAATAATAATAATAATAATAATAATAATAATAATAATAATAATAATAATAATAATAATAATAATAATAATAATAATAAAGAAAACGTAAAACACGACCTCCTTTTAAGGCAAACTCAACAAAAATGAGAGTGGTCTTAATTGTTGTCAGGAAACAGAAAGATGAAGTTACCAGCGTCAACAACTCAATCTGGGACACTGCCTGCACTATACCCTACTTACTTGTAGAGTCTACATCTTGCATGAGAGAGAGAGAGACTGTGGATATAAGGTGTATGTACTCCATTTTGTTGTTTTCTACATACAACCGCTTTAACGTTTAGGGTCTCTTAGCACCTCTCACTAAGTCCTTATATCTACACTTGACCAAAACACACACACACAAAAAAAATGTTAGTGATATTGACCTTTCACCTGACCACCTCCAGTTTGTTAGGAACAAAATAAATACGTGTACAGGAGCGTTCGAGAGCCACGAGCAGTAGGAAAGAATATGGGAAGGAGGGAAGCAATATTTGTGGCGCCTCGCGTAATGTGGAAGACAGCTACCTTAATGATAATTGGAGGAAATATATCCCATAGTCATGTCGACCCGTTAGAGGCAATGCGAATAGAGAACATTAAATTATGAGTCAGTTTTAGGTATGCAAGAGGCAGTATGGTTGATAGTGAAATCGATCGCCTTCATTTTTCCAATTGTAAAGTTATGCACCCACTCACAGGGATCCTTAGGATAGGAGGTTAACGCCGTAGGATACCAGACTTGTGAAGTCCTTCGTAGGTGGGGATATGATTGGAACCAACACGGCATCTATGTGAGTTTGTGGTTCCTACAATAGCAGGGTGAAGGAACCTGTGTATGGCGTGTAGTGTCCCGTATAGAGGGGTGAAGGAGGCTAACTAACCTGTAGTTCCTCCTGCAGAAGGGTTAGGGAGTATCTGACATGTTCCATGTTGTTGACGGTGATACAGAGTTGCTGTGCTCGCTCCTGTTCGGCCGTGTCGGTGGCCAGGGTGTGGAGTCGCTGCTGCAGAAGGTGAACGTAGTAGTCCGCTGATCCCGACATGGTCTGTTATAATTAGCAAGTTTTAGTTCCAAGTTCAGGAAGTGAATCTACGAGTACCTAGTCTAATATACACATAAAATGAAAGAAATTTGTGGGAGGAAAATCAATGAACTCGATAACCGTAATAAAAACTATATTATGTATACATGCAAACTTGAAGAAAAAAATCTTCAGCATAAAAAATATACAAACATGTTAACCAATAAAAACCCTGGTACTCAGTATACATTACTTCGTTAATAGACAAAGATAATAGTAGGCTTCACAAAAATCTCACTAACGTGAGCAAGAGAACCCAAAATAGTCAAAATAAACAAGAACACTCGGTATGTTTCCACACGAAACTTACCTCAATCATCTTGACGACGAGAGAATACGAGGAGCATGGATCAGGCCACGCCAGATGTCTCCAGAAGGTCTTGACGTGGTAAAAACATGACGTTGTGTCCACCGCTGACGTGGTGTACTGCAAGGTGAGGTGATACGGTCAACACTGTTTTGTGGCGTTAGTAGTAACTCTTAACTGTTAATATGTGGTTCAGCGATTGAGATCAGAATCAGTGGACATACAAAACAGATTTAGGCTAAAGTATATACTGTAGGTATAAGTAGTGAGTGTCTCCTGCACTAGTACTGTACATTACTATATTTTAGGTTATATAAATCTTCTTCGGTTATAATAGGTGAAAATTATATTAGCTTTCAACTTTGGTTTAACGTAAGGACAGGTGGGACTCCAAGAGCCTACGTGAGCCTACAGGACCCACCTGGACGGGCTCGCCGGTGTTGGCGACGCGGTCGGTGAGGATGGCGGTGCGGATGCGACAGAGGACACGGTAGGCCGTGACGTCGACCCAGCGGCTGACGGAGGGCAGAAAGTGCCGCCACACCGTCCCCAGCACCAGGGATCGACGCTCACCTGACGACACCTGCTCCTGGAACCTGAAGGTGAAGGACCCGGGTGACTGGTAGGTAGGTGGTGCTACGACACGTGATGAGGAGAATGTATGATGATAATGATGATGATGATGATAGTTAACTGAATGTATCTGATGGTGATTAATAAAGATGATGCAAATTAAATTAAATACAGGATAACGATGAGGATGATGACGATGATACGGTAATTATGAAGACTATCCATCGACACACATCATATCGTCCGAAGTGAAAGGTATAAGGTGAATATAAGGCATCAGTAACCACTTATAAGACAGGTAAAACAAAGCACATGACTCAAGTATCAGGCAAAGCTACAAAATATCTACAGACTAGGTATAAGGAAGTACTATAGAATCTAAATAACCAAGTATAAGGCAAATATAAGGAACCACTGACCCAGACATAAGGCATTAGTAGTATAAAGACATTGATGACTCACTTGGAGAACTCGGCGAGGGCAAGGTAGAGGAGGAAGGATGTGGAACAATGTGGGTAGTAATGTGGAGTTTCCTTGTTCAGTTCTAGGTCTCGTAACAAGGAACACATCTGCCACACCAGCTCGATGTCCTCGTCCACCTGAACCGAGGATAAAGGGTTTAATTAGTATTACAGTTGTCAGTAATTAGCACGAGACAGCTTAGGAATTAGTGTTTAGACAGCTTAGTAATTAGCGTGGTTAATCTTTGGGTGAAATAAGCTGGGGTTAATATTCTGGTGATCTATAATTAGGGCAAATTAACTTAGTAATAAGTTCAAAAAAGCTTAGAAATTAGAGCTTAATATCTTACTAATTAGAACTAGATATTTTACTCATCAGTGCTAAAAGCTTTGTAATTAATGCTACACATCTTAGTAATAGAGAGAGAGAGAGTAAACATGACGTGTGTCACCCAGAACACCTCTATGCCAGAAATCCTTAATTAATGTTGATATAATCCGAGTTCTTAATAAAATACCCTGTAATAACTTTAAATAATAACTCACTAATGATAAATTCTAGGGACATGATCATAGAGAGAAGACATGAATCTATCTTTTAACTGCATTGTCTATGTATTGTGTACCAAGGTGAAATAAACTGGGGTCTAATCTTCAGGTGATCCATCTTTTCCAAATCTCTTAACTGATGAAGGTAAAGTCTCAGTGCAATATTAACACCACATTAACCTCTACAATGCATCGTATGTTAATCTCTCTCATAAATAAACAAATAAACATCGATAGCAATATCATGCATAAGAATGTTTCACACTCCTGATTTATTCACCGTAAAATGTAATCACCTCTTGACCACATCTCATCTCACTCATGGAAAATAAATAACACAGCCAGAAATACCCAACAACTCTTTATTTCACTTTCTCAATCTGACTTGACTTTGTTGACGAGGAGGAGGAGGAGGAGGAGGAGGAGGGGAGGACGAGGAGGAGGAGGAGGAGGAGGAGGAGGGGAGGAGGAGGAGAAGGAGGCGATTTATGCAGGAGTGTTGAAGAAGACGTGTGAGAGGAAGTGTTTATTGACTACTGGGTGATAAGTGTGCTGAGGAGAGAACAGGTGGAGGGGGTAGTGTTAGAGGAGGATAGTGTTGGAGGAAGGTAGTGTTGGAGGTGGGGTAGTGTTGGAGGGGGGTAGTGTTGGGGGGTAGTGTTGGAGGGGGATAGTGTTGAGGAGGGTAGTGTTGGGGGGGTAGTGTTGGGGGGGGTAGTGTTAGAGGGGTAGTGTTGGAGGGGGTAGTGTTGGAGGGGTAGTGTGGAGGAGGTAGTGTTGGAGGGGGGTAGTGTTGGAGGAGGGTAGTGTTGGAGGAGGTAGTGTTGAGGAGGTAGTGTTGGAGGAGGTAGTGTTGGAGGAGGGTAGTGCTGGAGGAGGGTAGTGTTGGAGGAGGGTAGTGTTGGAGGGGGGGTAGTGTTGAGGAGGGTAGTGTCGGAGGAGGGTAGAGTTGGAGGAGGTAGTGTGGGAGGAGGAAGTGGAGGAGGTAGTGTTGGAGGAGGGTAGTGTTGGAGAGGTAGTGTTGGAGTGAGGGTAGTGTTGGAGGGGGGAGTGTTAAGGGGTAGTGTTGAAGGAGGGTAGTGTTGGGGGAGGGTAGTGTTGAGGAGGGTAGTGTTGGAGAGGTAGTGTGGAGGAGGGTAGTGTTGAAGGGGGTAGTGTTGAAGGTAATCGTTGGAGGAGGTAGTGTTGAGGAGGGTAGTGTTGGAGGAGGGTGGTGTTGGAGGAGGGAAGTTGAGGGGGGTAGCTGGAGGGGGAAGTGAGGGGGGTAGTGTTGAGGGGGTAGTGTTGGAGGAGGGTGTGCTGGAGGGGGGTAGTGGGGGGGTAGTGTTGAGGGGATAGTGTTGGAGGAGGGTAGTGTTGAGGGGGTAGTGTTGGGGGGAGTGTTGGGGGGTAGTGTTGGAGGGGTAGTGTTGGAGGAGGGTAGTGTTAGGGGGGGTAGTGTTGGAGGAGGGTAGTGTCGGAGGAGGGTAGTGTTGGAGGAGGGTAGTGTTGGAGGGGGGGTAGTGTTGGAGGAGGGTAGTGTCGGAGGAGGGTAGTGTTGAGGAGGGTAGTGTTGAGGGGTAGTGTTGGGGATGGTAGTGTTGGGGAGGGTAGTGTTGAGGAGGGTAGTGGAGGAGGGTAGTTGGAGGGGTTAGTGTTGAGGGGATAGTGTTGGGAGGGTAGTGTTGGGGAGGGTGAGGAAGGAGGGTAGTGTTTGAGGGGGGTAGTGTTGAGGGGGGTAGTGTTGGAGGGGTAGTATTGGAGGGGGTAGTGTTGGGAGGTAGTGTTGGAGGAAGGAGTGTTTGAGGAGGGTAGTTTGACGAGGTAGTGTTGAGGAGGGTAGTGTTTGGAGGGGGGTAGTGTTGGGGAGGGTGGTGTTGGGGAGGGTAGTGTTGGGGAGGGTAGTGTTGAGGAGGGTAGTGTTGAGAGGGTAGTGTTGGAGGAGGGTAGTGTTGAAGGGGGTAGTGTTGGAGGAGTGGTAGTGTTGAGGAGGGTAGTGTGAAGGGGGTAGTGTTGGAGGAGGGTAGTGTGGAGGAGGGTAGTGTTGGAGGAGGGTAATGTTGAAGGGGGTAGTGTTGGAGGAGGGTAGTGTTGGAGGTGGGTAGTGTTGGAGGAGGGTAGTGTTGAGGAGGGTAGTGTTGGAGAGGGGTAGTGTTAGAGGAAAGTAGTGTTGGAGGAGGGCACAGATGTCGGAGGGAGTGCAGTGTCGGAGCTGGTAGTGTTGGGGGTGATAGTAGTAAAGAGGGTCGTGTTGGAGAGGGCATAATGTTGGAGACGGTAGTGTTGGAGATAATGGTGGAGGAGTGTTGGAGATAATGGTGGCGGAGTGTTGGAGATAATGGTGGCGGAGTGTTGGAGATAATGGTGGAGGAGTGTTGGAGATAATGGAGGCGTAGTATTGGAAATAATAGAGGGGGAGTGTTGGAGATAATGGTGGCGGAGTGTTGGAGATAATGGTGGCGGAGTGTTGGAGATAATGGTGGCGGAGTGATGAGATAATGAGGGTGGATGTTGGAGATAATGAGGGTGGATGTTGAGATAATGAGGGTGGATGTTGATATAATGAGGGGAGTTGTTGGAGATAATAGAGGGGAGTGTTGAGAATGAGGGTGGATGTTGAGATAATGAGGGTGGATGTTGGAGATAATGAGGGTGAATGTTGGAGATAACGAGGGTGGATGTTGGAGATAATAGAGGGTGGATGTTGAGATAATGAGGGTGGATGTTGGAGATAATGAGGGTGGATGTTGGAGATAATGAGGGTGGATGTTGAGATAGTGAGGGTGGATGTTGGAGATAATAGAGGGAGTGTTGGAGATAATGAGGGTGGATGTTGGAGATAATGAGGGTGGATGGAGATAATGAGGGTGGATGTTGATAAATGAGGGTGAATGTTGAGATAATAGAGGGTGGATGTTGAGATAACGAGATGATGTTGGAGATAATGAGGGTGGATGTTGGAGTTAATGAGGTGGATGTTGGATATAATGAGGTGAATGTTGGAGATAATAGAGGAGTGTTGGAGATAATGAGGGTGGATGTTGGAGATAATGAGGGTGGATGTTGGAGATATGAGGTGGATGGAGATAGTGAGGGTGGATGTTGAGATAATAGAGGGGAGTGTTGAGTTAATGAGGTGGATGTTGATATAATGAGGGTGAATGTTGGAGATATAGAGAGGAGTGTTAGAGATAATGAGGGTGATGTTGGAGAATGAGGTGGATGTTGAGGATAATGAGGGTATGTTGAGATAGTGAGGGTGGATGTTGAAGAAAATAGCCAGGGTGTAGAATAAAAATACACTCCGCTATGTCAGCTTCTATTACAACGTCCACAAAAGGTGCTGATAAGAGCCCCATAAAACAGTGGGAACACAAACACCAGTTAATCCCTGCTGGGTGGACTCAGCAGTAAACCTGAAGAAAGATAATATTTATAGAAAGGATTTAGGAGTTACCCTATGATCGTTAACCTGATGTAAAGTGTAATGATAAAGGAATACAAAGGGGTTTTATGTGTTGTTATGGTGATGCGATGTCGTTTCTCAACATCAAAAGTGTTTAGAACATAAGAACATAAGAAAATAAGGAGTCTGCACAGGCCGGTTGGCCTGTGAATGGCAGTTCCTGTCGGGAGTTACAACCACCCTCTATATACTTTAATAACTTTTAAAGATATAGGATTTTAGTAGCACAGTTTTTACACTATACCATATTCCCATAATCTTTTAAAATTGTGTTTGAAGTTGACGTCATTATTACGTGGTAAATATTATGGTAGGAGGGAGTATCTGTCAGCAGGAGCGACAGGTGGGGAAATTATGTGCATTGTGAATCTGAGGATGATGGCTGAGAACCATGGCAGCGGGAGTCGCCTTTCTAAGTAAACAAAGGACAGGGATGACGTCATACAGCTGCCACAACTAATTAATGACGGTTGCTCTGCTCTTGGCATTAACGTATATATATGAATTATGGAACGATGTTTTCTCTTGTCTTATTCATCTGCACCTGTAAACAAATGTGGGGTGGAGGTTTGACCTTTCAGGGTGTATGCTTAACATGCCTGACCCCATATTCTTCATCTCTCACTGAAAACGGGTTGAGTGACGTCACACACTCGCCTTGTTTACCCACATAAATAAGGAAAGAGGTTAACGTCACGATACCAAAGCGTTATCGCCCTGGTTAAAGTTAGGATTAAGCTTAGTTAGGTTAGTGTAAGAGAATTAAATTAGGTCAATTTAGTTTAAAGTTAGGTCAAGTTAGGCTAATTGGGTTAGGTTATGCATACTCCTAGTCGTTAAATTTGATATCATAACGTCATCCTCTACCAAAAGTAAACAAGCAAGTCTTTCTAAACAAGTAGGACATAATTATAATAACCATGAGTGAGTCTTGCGGCGCAGCTCAGATTCTCAGAGGTTCCAACAATAAGTTTTCCTTATAGCTGTTGATATAAATACGTAACTAAGCGACTCGACCGACGGCACAATTTCGACTTCCAAAAACTATAATCAAAACTCTACCGCACACTTGGATCACCTGAAGACCAGATACCCCAGTTTATTTATTTCTTGACAATTAATAACTCGGGGAGGGTTGGGTTAGCGTTCTGTTATGTTATGCTACATAAACTTTGGTTATGTAAAGTTAGGTTAGGTTAGCTTATGTTATCTTAAGTCAGTTTAGGTTATGTTAGGGTGTTTAATCATCAGGTGAAATAAGCTGGGTGTATAATCTCCAGGTGATCCGTAATAACTATAATAACTTCACCTTTATGACCGGAGGAGCAGCAGGTGAGAGGTCACTTACCTGTATGACGGTGAGCACCTTGAGTGTGTCGTCTGATAACTGGGAGAAAAAACATATAAGAACATAAGAATGGAGGAAACTGCAGCGGGCCTATTATTTATACGGGTAGTCCCATTTACACCCAACCCCTATTGCTCATATGTCCATCCAACCTATGTTTGAAGCTATCCAGCGTATTCGAGTTAATGATGATATTTGGTAACTTGTTCCAGTCATCCACTACTCTATTTCCAAACCAATGTTTACCTAATTCGAGCCTAAATCTAAATTTGTCTAATTTAAAACCACTGTTACGAGTTCCTTCCTGGTTGGATAGTTTGAGTACCGTTGTAATGTCACCTTTGTTTAGCCCTGACTTCCATTTCTACAGATCGATCATATCGCCCCTCACTCTACGTCTCTTGAAGGAGTGCAAATTAAGATGCTTTAACCTGTCTCTGTACAAGGTTCTTAATGCCCGGGATTAGTCTTGTCATTCTCCTCTGAATTCTTTCTAGGGATTCTATATCCATTTTGTAATACAGTCACCAGAATTGAACTGAGTAATCCAAATGAGGTCTCACATGCGCAAGATATAGTTTTAGGGTGACCTCGCTAGTCTTGTATACTCCTTTGTATGAACCCAAGTGCATTATTAGCCTTGTTTCGAGCAAATACATATTGTTTACTTGGTTAAGATTCCTTCTTATCATTACTCATAAATCTTTCTCACAGTCGGATTTCTCTATAACATCGTTGTTCATCTGGTATCTGGGTTTTTTGTTTACATCTAGAATAAGTACTTTACATTTGTCCACATAGAATTTCATCTGTCATTTTTCAGACCAATCGAAAAATTTGTTTAGGTCTTTCTGTAGTTTTGCGGAGTCCTCGTCAGATTTAATTACTCGCCCTATTTTAGTGCCATCAGCAAATTCACTTATGTTGCTGTCTACTCCGATATCTATGTCTATATAATAAATATAATAACTAATAATGGTCCAAGTACTGAGCCTTGGGGTACTCCACTAGTGACGTTACTCCAATCGGATTTAGTGCCGTTAATGCTCACTCGCTGTTTCCTGTCCTGTAACCACGCCCTAATCCACTTTAGAATATATCCTCCAATGCCATGAGCCTCCACTTTTCTTATTAGTCTCTCGTGGGGGACTTTGTCGAAGGCTTTACTTGAGTCAAGATATACCACATCATAGTCGTGCCCGTCGTCCAATGATTCGAAAACAGCTGAGAAGATTGTTAATAGATTAGTTAGACATGAAAGCCAACTTGTGAAGCCATGTTGGGAATCATTGATCAACTGGTAATTCTCGGGGTGATTTCTAATACTAGTTTGAAATTATTGCTTCCAGCAATTTGCCTACAATTGATGTTAAACTGATTGGACGGCAGTTAGAAGATAGTGATCTATCTCCCTTCTTGAAACTCGGTATTACATTCGCCATCCTCCAGGATTCTGGTACTTCACCCGTTTTTAAGAACAAGTTAAACAAATTTGCTAAGGGCATACTAAGCTCAGGCAACATCTTACTCTCACTCCTCTGGTTATGTCAACATCGGGTCAAATCACGTTAAGGGGTCATATCATGTCAGGGGTCAATTTACGTCAAAGGGTCACGTCACGTCAAAGGGGTCATGTTATGTCAAGAGATTACACCATGCCAAGGAGTCAGGTCACATCAATGAATCATGTCATATCAAGTGGTCACATCATGTCAAGGGGTCATGTCACGTTTAGGGGTCACCATGACAAGGGGTCATCATGTCAAGGGGTCCTGTCATGTGGAGGGGTCATGTCAGCGGCTGGGGAAATTATATGTGTGAAATTTTGTACAATATTTGCAGGTCATCACAGATAACATGACACAACTGTATAATTATTGATATTTGGTTCCAAAGTCACACAACATATAAACGTTTCCTGAGCACACGCAGGCATTGATAACGTGTACACACACAGGCATTGATAACGTGTATACACACAGGCATTGTTAACGTGTACACACACAGGCATTGTTAACGTGTTCACACACAGGCATTGTTAACGTGTACACACACAGGATTGTTAACGTGTACACACACACAGGAATTGTTAACGTGTACACACACAGGCTTATTAATGTGTACACACACACAGGCATTGTTAACATGTACACACACAGATATTGTTAACGTGCACCCACACAGGCATTGTTAACGTGTACACACACAGACATTGTTAACGTGTACACACACAAACGGGAGGGAGAAGTGATAAATGGCAGTGAGGAAATAAGCAAAGCATTGAACAACTACTTCTTATCAGTTTTCACAGAAGAAATTCGCTAGGAAATTCCAGAGGTGGAACTGATATTTAGAGGAAAGGGAGAAGAGAAATTAAAGAATATCACTATCAGAAAAGAGGATGTTCTTAAGAGGATAAATAAACTAAAGAAGACAAAATCCCCAGGGCGGGAAATTTTCCTCGAGTCTTGAAAGAGTGTAGGGAACAGATTAGCGGACCCCTTGTAAATTTGTTTACAAAATCATTAGACACAGGAGTTGTACTTGTGGAAACAGGCAAATGTAGTACCCATATTCAAAAAGGAGACAGAGCATCAGCGTCATATTACCGGCCGATCAGTTTGACGTCAGCAGTGGGGAAATTTCTTGAATCAATTATAGCAGATAGCATCCGATCGCATCTAGAGAAAAAGCAAATTAATCTCGACTCTCAAAATGGGTTTACAAAGAAAATCTAGTCTAACAAATCTGCTGACGTTTTTTAGGAAAGTCTTCGGTAGTAGATAATGACGAAAATTACGATGTTATTTACTTAAACTTTAGCAAAACATTTGACAGAGTACCGCATCAGGGCTTCTGAGAAAAATTAAGCTCATGGTATCGAGGAAGTTTTAAATTGGATAAAATCATGGCTCACCGATAGAACGCAGAGGGTCAGCATAGATGGTGTTAAATCTGGTGGGGCCGTGTAACCAGTGGGGTTCCCCAGGGGTCAGTACTAGCACTCTTGTTCATAATCTACATAAACGATCTAGATACTGGGATCAGCAGTGACATAAGCAAGTTTGCGGATGACACCAAAATAGTGCGGCATATTAATTCAGGGCAGGATGCAAATGCATTACAGGAGGATCTAAATAAATTGCAGGGGTGGTCTGAAAATGGCAAATGAAATTTAACACCAGCAAGTGCAGCGTACTTAATATTGGAAGAACAAATACTGACAATGTATAGAAGCTTAACAACATCAACCTAGAAGTTGACTTGTGAAGAAAACTAAGGGTACTTAGCCCGGACCTACGGCCTAGAAAACAGTGCGTTAATGTTCGAAATAAGGCAAACAGAGTTTTTATATCTAAGTGTAAGTAACGAGAGTGCAGAGGTCTTATTGCAACTATATCTTGCGCTAGTCAGGCCGCACCTCGATTATGCGGTTCAGTTCTGGTGCCCATATTATAGAATGGATATCAATTCACTAGAGTCGGTGCAGCGAAGAATGACGAAAATGATTCCGGGACTTAGAAACCTTCCATACCAGGATAGGTTAAAGAAACTTAACTTGCATTCCTAGAAAGACGAAGAGTGCGGGGAGATATGATAGAAGTATTTAAGTGGGTGAAAGGAATCAATAAAGGGATATAGATAAAGTTCTTATAATAACCGAGCAGGATAGGACTCAGACAACGGATTTAAGTTGGATAAGTTTAGGTTTAGGAGGGAGATAGGAAGGAACTGGTTCACAAATAGGGTGGTAGACGAGTGGAAGAAGCTTAGCAACTTTGTAGTAAGTGCTGGAACGCTGGAAAGTTTCAAAAGGAGGCTAGATAGATTCATGGATGATAGAGAGTGGTAGTAACTCTCGACAGGAGCTGCCATGCACAGGCCAACCGGCCTATTGCAGACTCGTTTTTTCTTATGTTCTTATGTTAACGCCTACACACACAGGCATTGTTAACGTACACACACACACGCATTGTTAACGTACACACACACGCATTGTTTGCGTGCACACACAGACACTGTTAACGCCTACACACACAGACATTGTTAACGCACGCATTGTTTGCGTGCACACCAGACACTGTTAACGCCTACACACACAGGCATTGTTAACGTACACACACACGCATTGTTAACGTACACACACGCATTGTTTGCGTGCACAAAGACACTGTTAACGCCTACACACACAGACATTGTTAACGCACACACACACGCATTGTTTGCGTGCACTCCACCACAGACATTGTTAACGTGTACATACACATACATTGTTAACGTGCACACACACACACAGGCAATGTTAAAGTGTACACACACATACATTGTTATCGTGCACACACACAGACATTGTTAACGTACACACACACGCATTGTTAACGTGTACACACACAAACATTGTTAACGTACTCACACACAGACATTGTTAACGTACACGCACGCATTGTTAACGTGTACACACACAGACATTGTTAACGTGCACACACACAGACATTGTTAACGTACACACACACACACATTGCTAACGTGCACACACACAGACATTGTTAATGTACACACACACACACACACAGACATTGTTAACGTACACACACACAGATATTGCTAACGTACACACACACGCATTGTTAACGCACACACACAGGCATTGTTAACGTGTACACACACAGGCATTGTTAACGTACACACACAGACATTGTTAACGTGTACATCCACAGGCTTGTTAACGTGTGCACACACAGGCATTGTCAACGTGTACACACAGGCATTGTTAACGTACACACACAGACATTGTTAACGTGTACACACACAGGCATTGTACGTGCACACACACAGGCATTGTTAGCGTGTACACACACAGGCATTGTTAACGTGTGAACACAGGCATTGTTAACGTACACATACAGACATTGTTAACGTGTACATCCACAGGCATTGTTAACGTACACACACGCAGGCATTGTGAACATGTACACACACGGACATTGTTAACGTACACACACGCAGACATTGTTAACGTACACACACACACGCATTGTTAACGTGCACACACACAGATATTGTTAACGTACACACACACACACAGAACATTAACATTACACACACGCATTGTTAAGGTGTACACACACACAGACATTAACGTACACACACACACAGGCATTGTTAACGCACACACACGCATTGTTTGCGTGCACGCACACACAGACATTGTTCACGTGTACATACACATACATTGTTAGCGTGCACACACACAGGCATTGTTAAAGTGTACACACACTGACATTGTTAACGTGCACACACACACAGACATTGTTAACGTACACACACACACGCATTGTTAACGTGTACACACACAGGCATTGCTAACGTGCACACACAGACATTGTTAACGTACACACACACACAGAGACATTGTTAACGCACACAATTGTTAACGTGTACACACACAGACATAGTTAACGTACACACACACAGAAGATATTGTTAACGTACACACACACGCATTGTTAACGTGCACACACACAGGATTGTTAACGCACACACACAGGCATTGTTAACGTGTACACACACAGGCATTGTTAACGTACACACAGGATTGTTAACGTGCACACACACAGGCATTGTTAACGTACACACAGGCATTGTTAACGTACAAACACACAGACATTGTTAACGTGCACATCCACAGGCATTGTTAACGTGTACACACACCCATTGTCAACGTGTACACACACAGGCATTGTTAACGTACACACACACACAAGGCATTGTTAACGTGTACACACACAGACATTGTTAATGTACACACATACACACAGACATTGTTAACGTACACACACACAGATATTGTTAACGTACACACGCACACAGACATTGTTAACGTGTACATCCACAGGCATTGTTAACGTGTACACACACAGGCATTGTTAACGTGTACACACACACAGGCATTGTCAACGTGCACACACACAGGCATTGTCAACGTGTACACACACAGGCATTGTTAACGTACGCACACACAGGCATTGTTAACGTGTACAGCCACAGGCATTGTTAACGTGTACACACACAGACATTGTTAATGCACATCCACAGGCATTGTTAACGTGTACACACACAGGCATTGTTAACGTACACACACACAGACATTGTTAACGTGTACATCCACAGGCATTGTTAACGTGTACATACACAGGCATTGTTAGCGTGTACACACACAGCATTGTTAACGTGTACACACAGGCATTGTTAACGTACACATACAGACATTGTTAACGTCTACATCCACAGGCATTGTTAACATGTACACACAGACATTGTTAACGTACACACGCAGACATTGTTAACGTACACACACACACACGCATTGTTAACGTGCACACACACAGATATTGTTAACGTATACACACACACACGCATTGTTAACGTACACACACAGAAATTGTTAATGTATACACACAGATATTGTTAACGCACACACACGCATTGTTAACGTGCACACACACAGGCATTGTTAAAGCACACACACACGCATTGTTTGCGTGCACGCACACACAGACATTGTTAACGTGCACACACACAGACATTGTTAACGTATACACACACAGACATTGTTAACGCACACACACAGACATTGTTAACGTATACACACACAGACATTGTTAACGTACACACACGCATTGTTAACGTGTACACACAGGCATTGTTAACGTGCACACACACAGGCATTGTTAATGTACACACACAGGCATTGTTAACGTACACACACACAGACATTGTTAACGTGTACATCCACAGGCATTGTTAACGTGTACACACACAGCCATTGTCAACGTGTAACACACACAGGCATTGTTAACGTACAAACACACAGACATTGTTAACGTGTACTGCCACGGCATTGTTAACGTGTACACACACAGGCATTACAATGTACACACACAGGCATTGTTAACGTACACACAGACATTGTTAACGTACACACACACAGACATTGTTAACGTGTACATCCACAGGCATTGTTAACGTGTACACAAACAGGCATTGTTAACGTGTACACACACAGGCATTGTTAACGTGCACACACAGGCATTTTAACGTGTACACACACAGACATTGTTAACGTGCACATCCACAGGCATTGTTAAAGGTACACACGCAGGCATTGTTAACGTGTACACACACAGACATTGTTAACGTACACACACGCAAACATTGTTAACGTACACACACACACACACGCATTGATAACGTGCACACACACAGACATTGTTAAGCACACACACACACACACAGACATTGTTAACGTACACACACACACACACATTGCTAACGTGCACACACACAGACATTGTTATATACACACACACACACACACAGACATTGTTAACGTACACACACACAGATATTGTTAACGTACACACACAGACATTGTTAACGTGTACATCGACAGGCATTGTTATCGTCCACACACACAAACATTGTTAACGTTTACATCCACAGGCATTGTTAACGTGTACACACAGGCATTGTCAACGTGTACACAAACAGGCATTGTTAACGTACACAGACATTGTTAACGCACATCCACAGGCATTGTTAACACGTACACACACAGGCATTGTTAACGTACACACAGGCATTGTTAAATGCACACACAGACATTGTTAACGTACATTGACAGGCATTTTAACGTACACACACGCAGGCATTGTTAACGAGTACACACACAGGCATTGTTAACGTACACACACGCAGACATTGTTCACGTACAACACACACACGCATTGTTAACGTGCACACACTCAGGCATTGTTAACGTGTACACGCACAGGCATTAAGCACGTACACACAGGCATTGTTAACGTGTACACACACAGGCATTGTTAACGTGTACACACAGGCATTGTTAACGTGTACACACACAGACATTGTTAACGTGTACATCCACAGGCATTGTTAACGTGTACACACACAGGCATTGTTAACGTACACACACTCAGACATTGTTAACGCGTACATCCACAGGTATTGTTAACGTGTACACACACAGGCATTGTTAACGTGTATACACACAGGCATTGTTAACGTACATGCACAGACATTGTTAACGTGTACATCCACAGGTATTGTTAAGGTACACACACTCAGGCATTGTTAACGTGTACACACACAGGCATTGTGTACACACACATTGTACACACACAGGCATTGTTAACGTGTACACACACAGGCATTGTTAACGTACATACACAGACATTGTTAACGTGTACACCCACAGGCATTGTTAACGTGTACATTCACAGGCATTGTTAACGTACACACGCACACACATACATTGTTAACGTGTACACACACATAGACATTGTTAACGTACACACACACACACACAGACACACTGTTAACGGGTACACACAGACACACACACACAGACACTCACACACACATAAACAGCCTGGTGCCACCTTTGAACGCCTTAAATGAGCCGTGCAGTGAACGCCTCGTTGAACTTACATTAGCGAACACCTTCATACCACCACTTCACATTAAGTTTATTTACTAACATTACGAGGATGAGAACAGATATAAAAATAAATATAGTTAATACATTTTCATTTACTTCTCATTAGTGAACGTCTTAATGTAAGAGTATCTCACAGTAACGAGGAAATAGCTGTCTTTACCCCACATTAGCGAACACCTCATTCTCATCACTTTAGGTTAGCAAACACCTAAACTCCCAACACTTGAAATTAGCGAAATCTTACAACAAATCTTAGCGCCTTATTACATGTGCTTGACTGTAAATGCGAGGTAATGCTGTGGCTATCATAGGAGAGTTTATAATAATGAACAGAATTAGAGAATATATTTTTTAAAAGACTTCAAACACCATTTTGATTCAAAGTAAATGAGAAGGAAAATAGGGGTCACCTAAATGTTCTCCGTCCTAATTAATTTTCTTCTCATAGGAACACCTTTGTGACTCTTGGTATAAATTATTCAATAGCAGCGGTGTACGTTTGTCATCACATATGCAATTACGGTGAAATCCAAGCTCGCGGGATGTAAACAAATGACGTCACAACACTTACCAATTTTTCGAAGATTTTGTAGGTGAGTGACACGTAGTGGACTTTGAGCGCCGTTCTGGAAAAAAACAAAATATGAAGCTGAGTGTTGTGAGAGCGTGGTGAGGATGATACAACGTTTATAGAAGTAGTTTACTGAGCAACAATGACGCTACAAAACATTAACGTAAAAGTGTGTGTGTAAAATAACATAACTACATTTATCAAATATTGTAAAGTATTCTTGTAGAAGTTTTATTCTAACCAGAATGGCCTACACAGTCACATATAAACCTAAGTTCTATATATCAAGGATCAGTCATAATTTCTCGAATGTTCTATGTCAAGTATTGTGACGTCATATCCTAAGGTTTGACTAAATGGCTCTGGGGCCGCCATGTTGAAATCACCCACAAGAGACATTCACTCATGGACTGTCGTGTAACTCACAAATGTCATGGTCAACCTTACCACAGACCAGAGCGTTACATCTGTCTTTTGAGTATATTTCTACACAAGCCCTGGATGTTCGGTGGTTACTGTTGTTTAATATTTGTGACTACAGAGTGTATTTATCTTAACTGGTGTTTGTATGAATTCCTCCACACTCTGAGGTCACACTGCAACATCTCTCAATATCTTAACTACCACTGGTGCTCATTAGCAATTGAGTACGACTGGGGTTCCTGGGATCATTGTTTGTGAAATGTAATTAGTGAACTGTTCTCCTGGAAGAGACCGTTCTCCTATGTATGGCCCGTTGTCTCAACCGACATGTCCAGAGATTCCTACCCAAACGGCCTTTTCCACACACACACACACACACACACACACACCTCCACTCACTACCACACACCACAACAACCATATCCCCACGGCAACAGGTAAACAGGTCACGTTCCCCCTCCCCCCCCCCACGCCAGGCCCAAGCTTAAGTCTGGTGATCCCTTGTTATCATTCAGGGCCAGGACCAGGGACTACAATACACCCTCACATACTCTACCTAAATGAGGTCTGTCAATTCCACCCAGTGAGAGGCCCTTACCAATTTTAAGGGGGATGATGGGGGGAATTATGACTCGGGGAAACAACGTGAGTCAGAGAGAGAGAGAGAGAGAGAGAGAGAGAGAGAGAGAGAGAGAGAGAGATGCACAAACCACGTATTTACGCATCATTAGAGGAGTACGTACGTAGAGAAGGCGTGTTCGTAGTAGTCGAGGCCAGCCTGGAGGTCGAGGGTGAGGTGGAGGGCGAGGCGGGCCAAAGACTCGAGTGCTGTGTCGCCGCCCGTAGACAAACTAGACTCTCTATGTCTGTCGTACCTGGTGGAAGAGACGGGGTGTTGGGGTGTACTGACTGATGCCGTAAAGGATGGGTGTTGGTCGAGGGTGTAGGGGATGGGTGTTGAGGGGAGGGGGAGGTGTGTGGGAGAATGTTGAGAGTGTGGGAGAGCTGAGAGGAGGTGGGAGAGGTTGAGAGGAGAGTGTTGAGAGGAGGGGAGAGGTTGAGTTGGAGAGGAGGGGAGAGTGTTGAGAGAGAGGAGAGAGTGTTGGAGAGGAGTGGGGAGGTGTTGAGAGGAGTGTGGGAGAATGTTGAGAGGAGTGTGGGGAGAATGTTGAGAGGAGGTGGGAGAATGTTGAGAGGAGGTGGGAGGAGGAGGAGGGGAGAGAGCGAGAGGAGGTGGAGAGAGTTGAGAGGAGGGGGGGAGTGTTGAGAGGAGGGGAGAATGTTGAGAGGAGGTGGGAGAGGTTGAGAGGGAGTGTGGGAGAGTGTTGAGGAGGTGGGAGAGTGAGAGAGGAGGTGGGGAGAATGTTGAGAGGAGGGGAGAATGTTGAGAGGAGTGGGGAGAATGTTGAGAGGAGTGTGGGAGAATGTTGGAGAGGAGGGGGAGAATGTTGAGAGGAGTGGGGAGGGAGAGTGTGAGAGAGGAGTGTGGGAGAGTGTTGGAGGAGGGGAGAATGTTGAGAGGAGAGTGGGAGAGGTTGAGAGGAGTGGGGAGAGTGTTGAGAGGAGGTGGGGTGTAGGAGAGTGTTGAGGGGAGTGGGTGTGTGGGAGAGTGTTGAGAGGAGGTGTGTGGGAGAGTGTTGAGGGAGGGAGATTGTTGAAGGGAGGTTGAGGGGAGGTGGGGTGTGTGGGAGAGTGAAGGGAGTTGAGGGGAGTGTGGGGTGTGGGAGAATGTTGAGAGGGTGTGTGGGAGAGTGTTGAGAGTGTTGAGAGGAGGTGGGTGTGTGGGAGAGTGTTGAGAGGAGGTGGGTGTGGGGAGAGTGAGGGGAGGGGTGTGGGAGAGTGTTGAGAGGAGGGGTGTAGGAGAGTGTTGAGGGGTGTGTGGGAGAGGTTGAGGGGAGGTGGGTGTGTGGGAGAATGTTGAGGGAGGGGGTGTGGGAGAGTGTTGAGAGGAGGTGGGTGGGGTGGAGAGGTTGAGGGGAGTGTGGGAGAGTGTTGAGAGGAGTGAGGTGTGGGTGTGGGAGAGTATTGTGGGTGTGTGGGAGAATGTTGAGAGGAGGTGGGGTGTATGGGAGAGTGTTGAGAGGAGGAGTGTGGGAGAGTGTTGAGGGGAGGGGTGTGGGAGAGTGTTGAGGGAGTGTGGGTGTGGAGAGTGTTGAAGGGAGAGGGGAGGTGGGCGTGGGGAGAGTGTTGAGGGGAGTGGGGGTGTGTAGGAGGTGGGGTGGGAGAGTGTTGAGAGGAGTGTGGGTGTGTGGAAAATGTGTGTGGAGGGAGCGTGTGCTTGTAGGTGTTGGGTGTGTATGGAGGTTTATGGGAGTGTAGGCGTAAGTCTGTGTGTGTGTGTGTGTGTGTGTGTGTGTAACTGTGTGTGTGTGTGTGTGTGTGTGTGTGTGTGTGTGTGTGTGTGTGTGTGTGTGTGTATCTTCATGGATGTATGTGTATGTATACAGTTAATGTGTATGGGGGATGTATACGTCACACCATTATACTTACCCACCAGCCTCACAAAATGCATCTATCAATTCTCTCGATATTATGTCTCTCATACACACAAACTAGTGACACCAGTACCTGTGAAAATATCAACATTAGGTAAGAATATTCACACCCAACAGTACCCCATGTCCCTCACTCACCACCTGGGAAAAAAAACAAAATAAAGTAAGCAAGGTACATAGTATATATTATATTTCCAGGATGAACAGGTACTGAGTATTGACTGGATTAAACTGTACTAGGAATACAAAAAAAAATCCTCACGTGAGCATAATTTATTTAGGTTCAATAATTAACTGGAACTTGATTTAGAACCTTTGTGAACAGGATTTAGTTGACTTAGTTAGAACATCGTAATTAATACAGATTGGTTATTACTTTAATATAGATGATGTATTAAGGTATTATAATCTTCACTCTTCTTATCAAAGGACTGAGGTAAGAGGTGTAGCATTATCTTATCTCTCAGGTGTAGTATGTAGGACCTCATGCCTTTGATAACCTACATCTTTGTTGTTGTATACCTGCCTCACCTCATTTCACCTCACCTCTCCTAATTTACCTAATCACACTTACCTCTAAACTTTACCAAAACACACACCTTCGTCCATAAATACTTCATCTTGCTTCATTTGCCTCACTTTATACTCACCTCACTTCTCCTCCCATTACCACACTCACACCAAACTTACAACTGCTTCTTCTTGCTTCATTTCCTTCACTTCGCTTACCTAACTTCCGCTTCCGTGAGAGTTAGTTTGGCCTCTCCTCACAACTTCCAGGTAAGGGGGGGGGGGAGGTGGGAGGTGGGGGTAAACGTTCAACGTATGAATTTCTGAGATCCTATCTTTGTGCTGTAAATTAAGTGTACCAGTTAAATGATTTCTCACCCCTCCAGTTACGAGGAAAAATTTAATGTACGAACTTTTGAAGGATCCATCTTTGTGTGGTAATATATTTGTGTCTGGTCGAGGCAATTTCATATCCCTAATTACGAGAAAAAATCATCGTATAGGTATATCGGAATCCGCCTTTGTGTCTTAGATTAAATAAGGGAATCAGATGCGTTTTTAGAAGAATTTAACATAAAAACATTTGAGAATCCGTCTTTCAGTCCTAGATTAGGTGAAACAATTCTATATGTTCACGGATCTTTAATTAAGCGGGAAGAAATCAACATACAAGCATTTCAGAATTCGTCTGTGTGTCCTATATCAACTAAGGCAATTATTTACGCTCTTAGATTCTTTATCAGAATCCGGAGTTTGTTTACGTGTTCATAACCTCGTGGAATTACAAGTACACTCCGCCACAGCGCTCGTAAACGCGTGGAAACACAAAGTGGTTACTGACCTGACCTAACTCGGGTAAACTCACAGTAAATTGCTAATTGTCGGAAATGGGCTATGATGGGGGGAAGAGGGAGCAGAAGAAAGGAAATTCTGTAGTAATGTGGCACCGGAATTATGATGGGTGAGAATGATTACGAAATTCCCAGCCAATGAAGATTCAGGATTATAATGGATGGAAATGAGGGGAAATACCGTCATGATGAGGTCAAGGATTTACAGTGAGTGGAAGCGAGGGGAAATTCCCTAGCAACGAGATCTCGGATAGAAATAACCAAAATCACGCTAAAATTCTCTCGGAGTCGCAATAACTGGATAGGAGGGGGAATGTTTCTAGCAACAGGAACTCGGGATAAAAGTGAGTTGGGAAAATGGGAAAAGAGAGGAAATTTCCAAGTAATGGGGTAGGAGTTGTAATGTGGGGGGGAAATGAGGGCAAGAATGAGGACAAGTTCAGGTTGGATCTCAGTCGAAGTTTTAGTCTGAAAGAGAGAGAGAGAGAGAGAGAGAGAGAGAGAGAGAGAGAGAGAGAGAGAGAGAGAGAGAGAGAGAGAGAGAGAGAGAGAGAGAGAGAGAGAGAGCTCAAGTCTCGGATAATTTCACAGTAAAAAGAAAAAAACAAAAAGAATGATTCTCTTAAAATGGTAAAATAATGTTAACAGATCCGATCAGAGTTTTCTTTCCTTAATTGGACAAGTAAGAAGAGTAAGAACGTATTTAATTAACCCACTTAAGTTCCGACACAAGATGCTCTCCCAAAGGATTCATCAGTAAACTTAGCCTCGTACCCTAAGTAATGAAAACGTATCTAACAGACACTCTTAATCTACGGTACAGACATGGCGAGCAAATGACGAATACTCTTAATCTGCGGTACAGACATGGCGAGTAAATGGCGAATAAACTGCACTTAGACTGTAGTAAATGTGTTTTCTTCGTCTATGTATAAAGATATAGAACTGAAAAACACATATACATACACATAAGAACCTAACCTAACAAGAGTAACCGAGAAGTATTTCTTGGATGATATAAATCTCACTTGGAAAATATCCCTCGAACGTGAAAAAGTATCTACCAGTCAGGTCAGGTTAGACAGGTTTTATGCTGAATAAATCGAGATGAAGGTGAACATAGTTTTGTAACACTTAATGTATGTATTCCTGTAACACAAAAGACGTGTATATCTGTAATATTTCAAACATGTAGTATTCCTGTAATGAGTTAAGATAATACAGCAATACATAAAGGAAATAATATCTCTATATATACTGTATGTTATACTTTATGTACCAGGTAATGTATAAACACTTACAGATGTATGTTGTGTATTCCGTGTATAAGTTTCTTGCATAACTCTGTAACAAATAATACGTGAGCACATAGAAATACACATTACTGAGATACAGAAGAATAAATGAGATACATAGACAGCCCAAAGCCGCTGCAGCAGCATCCATGTTTACTTTATGATGATGGAAGGCACATACAACAACATTTGTTGAATTCAAAGATACACAGTGAAGCCAAACCATGGCGGAGGAGGAGGAGGACGAGGGGGTGAAGAAGTAGAAGAAGAATAAGGAGAAGGAGTAGGAAAAGGAGGAGGGGAAGAGGAGGAGGGGATGGAGCAGGGACAAGGGAAAAAGAGCTGGTATGTAGGAAGGGAACAGTGGTGAGAGAGAAAGAGAGAAGAGTACTCAGCATTACCTGGAAAGATTCGGAGGACAGGATGTAAACAAAAAAGCCTAGAGTATGGTCAGGCAGAGTACGGTCATGCTCCGACGCTAGCCCAGTAAGCATGCTTGTAAACACAAACAAAATGACACTATATCAAGCAGATGACAAAAGCAGGCATGCAAAATACAGATGAAAGACAGTGAACAGAGAGGTAGAAAATAGTAAAAGAGAAACGGCTGGGAATAAGAGGAAGCAGAAATCAGTGAAATGTGATAACAGGGAGGGTGGAAAGAAGTGATGATGATGGAGAAAGGAATTATCAGAAGGTAGTGGAAGGAATTAGTCAATTATAA